ATTATGGGATTAGGTAAAGGTTCAAAATAGGACTTTTATAAACAAATCTCATTGTAGCCTTTTAAAATATATTAATAATTAAGACTAAATTAACTTGTATTTCTAAATGTAAGGTATATATTATTTCTCTGTATAGACATCGAACATGTGGGCATTATTCCCGGTTGTATTTTTACCTTATGGGTTAACTTAACTCAGATAATATAAATGTTTTTAGGGTCTATAATGCATACTTTAAAAATTTTCAATGAAGACCTTCAGAAAAGACCACTCTGTTGTGTGTTTTGGCCTTGACCTGTCTTTCGAAACTGACAGGGATGTTGTTCTGAATCTGTCATATGTCTATAGGGATGGAGAATTGAAGGGTGGGGAGGCAAAGCGGGGCAGGGACCAAAACCATAGTTCTCGGCATATTTGAAATTTAAGATTTATCTATTTTGAAAACTTTGTCCATAGTTGTGACTGTATTTTTCAGGAAAATGCTCTCTTATCTAAAATGTTTCCTAATGAACTGGAGAGAAATCATTCTGTTCTGGTCGTTAGGAAACTGTTTACTAAATTTATTTTGAAGGAACTAACTTCAAGTCATATGTTTGAAAATGCAGCCATTTCCAAAAGATTAATGGTTTATTCGGCAACAGGATCAAGTCTTACAGTAATGTAAATTTGACTAGTATATCATTGTTAATAACTTTATGAATACATTTGCTCTTTCACTTCTTAAGCTGTTCAGCAGAAATGTTGCATCAGATAAAAATGACATATTTACTAGTTATTATCTTAGTTGTGAAAATTTATGTGAGAGATCGAAGGAAGAATAGCAGAGAGGAAAAGAATAGAGAAAAATGGAGGCAGAGATAATACAAAAATTTTTAAAAAGAAATACATTAAGTTTGATATAAGGATCAAAATAATAGTGAATCAGGAAGGAGAGTTTATTAGTTTACCACTAATCTAAATAGATATGATTACAAAGTACTTTTAAAAGAGTAGCCACTTCTTATATTGCTTTTTTCAATTAATCCATGGAAATGTAATAGGTAAGAATCAATGTAGATCATAGTATGATTTGGGGATCATAGTTACAATATAAACATAAGTTAATGCAGCATATCATGGGTTAATTCTTATGTCAAAGTTAAAAAGATTAACTGAACAGGATGTACATGTTTTAAACCAGAAAATCCGAGTTAACAGATTCTGCCTCCGTGCTGGATAATTTCAAATTTCTTGAAAGTGCAGCTGCAGATTTCAGTGATGAAGATGAAGAC